CCAGCCCCTGTCCAACACCCCACAGCACCATTCCTCTGGCATTTCTGCTGCAGCCAGACCCCAGCCCTGGCTGCTGGCCCAAAGCTGGAGAGGGCTGTCCACCACGCACAGGGTTCACGAACAGCAGAAGCACGGGCAGGCTGGTGGGAGAAGCCCTCCCAAGGACAGTGACAGCCGACCAGACACACCTCACCCAAGTATTGCCCCTAAAGCCCGGCTGCTGCTCCTTGTGCTGCTCCGACCGCCACGGAGCCTCCACCCTGGCAGGGAGCTCCCCGGGGGGGCAGGGGATGGAGCGGAGCGGGACAGGACGGCTCTCCCACCCACCGCAGAGCAGGGTTGTGCGTTTTCACCCCAGGCAAGCCCAGTGCCAGTTCCCAGCGCTCGGCCAGCACCAGTTTTCCCTGGTCTGCTCTCCAGGTCGTCTGCTTTCCCTCCCCGAACCCTGCCCGCGCCTCTCCATCCCAGAGCGGGGACGGGAGGAGCGCAGACGCTGGCGCTACCGTCACGCTGGGGAGAGGACCGGGTGCTCCCCAGCCTTGGCAAGGGGAGACTCGCAGCTCCCCCATCCCACGGGCCAGCACCCAGCCACGCACACCAGCCCACGCCATCGTCTCCTTGCCTCCAGGGTCTCTTTTTGGAGAGAAGCTTGACTGGAGACACACCACCGGGCACAGCGTTCTTCACTGGCACGGAGCTGGACACTCGAGGCGTCAGACCAGGCTTGGCTTCAGGAAGGTTTTCTTTTCCAGCATCCAGGAAGATTCAAATCTCCGGCACACGGAGAGCCGAGAGGCGGCGAGGCCGGGGGTGCGGATATTTGAGCGTCACCTGCACAGGTACAGCTGCTTCCTCCCCGACACGTGCCCGGTGTGCCGTGCGTTTCAGTCGAAGCAGCTGCGAGCGCCGGTCCCGGCGCGGAGGGGACCCGGGAGCTGCGGACCGGGCGGGCTCCGAGCTCACCACGGGTCAGGATGTGCCGTTCAGCGCGTCTCGGCGCAGCTCGCCCTTCCCGATAACCACCGCCCCGACAACGCAAAGTCCGTAGCGAGTAGTGTCCGATGAGGTATTTCTACAGATTTTGAAGCTTAGTTCGTCGTTTCATCTGGAAGCCAAATTCTTTTTAGAAAACACACTTTTTCTCCAAGACCAAAACTGAGGCCAGAGGTGACGGTGGAGGGAGGGCAGGATTTGTTAGCACCCTTCGGAGCAACCCTTGGCAGAAGCAGACACCCAGAATTTGTCCAGGCTGCTTTAAGATCCACCCGACTGCCTAATCTGGGGACGCAGATCGTTCTGCAGGGCAAGGCCAAAGTCCCAGCAGCTCCCAAGTGCCTGCAGCCAGCTCACAGGGCACAGATCTCCGGCCCGGGCTGCCCAGCATCGCGCTTTCAGGCCACACTGCTGCGGGACGGAGCGGTTCCTCGCTGGGGCTGGGAGCAGGGCAACACTCCCTAGTTTAAATACGGGAGGAGAGGTTCTTCTCCAGCCTTCTCAGCATCCCTCGGGCAAGCTTCAAACTTCACCATGAAATGCAAACGCTTTGCAGTGGTGGAAGAGCAGACCTGGATTTGAAGGGGGGTGGGCGGGGGGGGGCATCTCAGCCAGTGTCAAGCTCGGACACACAGCAAGAGCTTCCATCGCTCTTGGCTTTACTGTTTCTGAATTGCTGTGGTTCCACAGACATCCCAGGGAGAGCAGGACGCAGCAAGTAAGCTTGAAGAGATCGGACGCCGTTCCAGAAGAGCCCTCAGTTACCTGTTTCTTGCTCCACGTCACCCCAAAGATGCCTCTTGATGCCCCAGCGACTCTCGATCGGGATCCTCCAGAGCTCTACAGACAGCCACTCCATTCACAGCTTCTGGAGACAGCCAGAGAAAGGCTAAAAGTGCACGTCCCGCGGCTCTGCAAGCCTGGGATCGCTGTAGCAAGTACCTTTGGTCCATGGACTGCTGCAACAGCTACAGCAACAGCTTGGCCACCTTCCTCCCGCTGTGGGTTCAGCGAGATCTTCCAGTGTCTGCTCAAGGAACGATGCCTCCTCCTCAGAGCAGCCCTTGCTCCCCAGCGCAGCAGCGACCATTCCCTCTGGGAATCCGGGGCATCCACATGGCTCTTCCTTCCTTGGACCCAACTTCAAAGCGTACAGGAGCACCCTGCAAACCCAGCTGCAGCCCAAGACTAGGTTCAGTCCTCTTCTCCCAAATCCTGGAAAGCAGGGGAGCTGCGCAGCCGCCCGCTGTTCCGAGCTCCGTGCTCCCCAGAGGTTATTCCACGTAGCTGCACGCGATTCCGGCTCAGTCGGCCTCCGAGCAGCTCTCCGGCTGCATCCCCCTCGGCGAGGACCAGAAAACAGTCTTGCCATAACGCCTGGAGCAGGTGATCTTGCTAGAGAGTCCCCTTCTCTCTCTGTCTCTCCCCACCTTGAAGTTTCCAAGGGAGGATAATAAAATTCAGCTGATCATAAGACAGTATTTTTCTCATGCTGAAAATAAACAAATAATAATAAAAAAAAGACGACGTCAAAAATAAAACTTTCCAAAAATTGTAAATAGTGCCGTGACATTCTTTGTTCTGCAAGGAGTCCAGGAGCTGGGCTCAGCCGTCCCCGAGGCCCCGCTCCCCCAGCCAGGAGCCCAGGCTCTCGTTCCCCTTCTGCTGTGCTTCTTAGGAGTCTTGAACCCTCTTCTCTGCACAAAAGAGCTTGAGAGCAGAAGCGGCACCGCAGAAGCGGGCTTCGCCGTCGCGTGCCTCCTTCCCACCACAGCCTGACTCGGGCTACAGGATGGCAACACTCAAATTCCTAGCGGGAAGAGAGAAGGGAGAGGGGTCAAACAGCCTGCCTGAGGCAGCAGGATCTGCCCCAGACTGCAGCCCACTTGGCACGAGAGCGAGCACAGGCTCAAATACTTCCCCTCTGCTCTGCCCTGGGGAGGCCCCATCTGGAGTACTCTGTCCAGTTCTGGGCTCCCCAGTTCAAGAAAGATGAGGAGCTACTGGAGAGAGCCCAGCAGAGGTCTACGAGGATGAGGAGGGGACTGGAGCATCTCTCCTACGAGGAGAGGCTGAGTGAGCTGGTCTTGTTTAGCGTCGAGAAAAGGCCGAGAGGGGACCTTATAAATGCTTATAAATATCTTAAAGGTGTGTGTTGGGAGGATGGGGCCAGTGTCTTTTGAGTAGTGCCTAGCGACATGACAAGGGGCAACGGGCACAAACTGAAGCACGGGAAGTTCCAGCTGAACAGGAGGAAGAACTTCTTCCCTCTGAGGGTGATGGAGCCCTGGAACAGGCTGCCCGGTTGGGCTGGGTGACCCACAGAGGTCCCTTCCAACCCCCACCATGCTGGGATTCTGTGAAATATGCACAAGAAAGCAGCAGAAGCTTTGTTCCCCTCCCCAAGGAAAGCTGGGCAATGCTTAAAGGCCATGGAGTGGACAGCCATGGCTTCTTCAGGAGGGTTTTGAGTTTTCTTTGCAATCAGAGGGATCAGAGCGATTCACGTGTGCCCCCACGGGACGGGGCACGGACCAGCAGCACACGCGTACCATCAGTGACAGCAACAAGACGGGCGAGGCAGCCTCGCTACGTGGAGGATTCGCTCTCCTGCTTCTGTTTGGAGATGAGCTGGGCTTCCTTCAGCGACAGATACACCTCCTCCTGCGGGTCGTAGTAGTAGAACTTGCGGATGTAGGAGATCAGGGGCCTGGGGAAGGAACAGGCAGAAGCTTTAACCCCGAGCCACAACCACATCAACCTCCACGAAGGATAACAAGACCCTCTCCCCCAGCCCACCTCCAGCAGGAACAGGAGCCTGTACCCAAGTCAGGTACCACCTCACTCCCGAGCTGGTCACCACTCCCGCACGCGTCCCTACGCACCACGGGACATTTACCTTGCTGTCCCAAGGCTGAAGAAGTCACCTACGCCCTCCCCGAGCCCTCGCTGCAGCTCCAGACGCCCTCTCACCGCCCGCTGCGGCGGGGGTCAGAGAGGAACCCAAGGAACTCATCCCCGGGCCAGTCCTCCAGACTTACTTGGGCAGCGGGAGCTCGGGGATGTGGTCTATTCGGACCAACTGCCTGATCCGAAAGCGGCAAAGGTGCTGCAGGGATTTGACGTTGCTGAACCTGGAGACTGGATACAGGAGCTGGACAGGCGTTGGAGGGAGACCTTTGGAAAAAATAGAGATATTGGAGACAAATGCTCTATTAGAAAGGAGCCACTACTGATGCGGAAAGGAAAAGCTGGCTCTTGGGAAGCGGAGCTCTCTGCAGGGTTGTGTTGGAAAGCAGATCTTCCCAGGAGCTCACTGCTTCGCAGTCGCTTGGGACTGGGGAGCCAAACCTTCCAGGGGCAATCCCCCTTTGGCTGCAACCCATCTCCAGCCTTCCTCGCCAGGCAACAACACTTCTGCTGCCATGGGGTGACTCTGGAAAAGCAGATCCCGGGACACCGCAAGCTCCTGACCACCCCCCTCTCCCCAGACTGGCAGATGAAGCATCACTTTATCCAGAGCAGCAACAGCTTCTGAAAGGACGCAGAAGAAAGCCAAAGGAGAGGGCAGGCAGCACGTAGGCTTCGCTCTGCAGAACGCTTTGGGTAGTTCCAGCGAGGCGTTAAAAAGCCGGGGGATGCGGTCAGCTCAAGCTGCGCCAGAGTTGCTCATTCTTGGGGTCACGAGGCTGGACACCGAGGCAGAGGCGGCAGCGGCTTCGCTCCAGCCAGCTCCCCACGCAGGGAGCAGCCTCGCAGGGCTGGAAGCGAGCTGCATCCCGCCGTCCCCCCGCCCCACAGCCTCCTCCACCCCCAAAGTTACGAGCAACACCTCCGGCAGAACCGAGAAGGCGCCAGGAAGGGTCTTTGGGAGCTGGGTTCATTCACAGCACAAGGTTTTATCTGTCTTTACAGCAGGATTCAAAGCTAGTTACACTCTAACCCCCTCCCGCTGGCTCGTCTCTGAGAGCAACGGAGTGAAAGGAGAAAAGGGAAAGCTCTTCACATGAAGACGGGCTCAAAACTGCTCCAGGCAGCTCAGGGAGCTGCCAGCCAGCTTCTGAGAAAGCAAAGAACAGCAATCAATTGAAGGCTGGATTCTCCCCCCCACCTCCCCTTCCTTATTCTCCTACCAAAAAGCAATCAGGCTCTGGGAGCCCAGCCAGCAGCTACGGGGACGCAGCTCCAGCTCCGCTCGCCGCGCTGCCGGGAGCTGGAAACAGCCCCCTCCTCCGAGCTGCAGCGAAGGTTTCGGCAGCAGAACAGCCCGCTCGGGGGGGGACCAGGCAGCGAGGGACCCCTCAGCAGGCGCACGGCGCTGTTTGCTGGGGAGATTTTCTCTTTCAATGGTATTTTTCTAGAGCAAGTTCTTTCTAAGATATTTTCCTGGAGTCCTAAGGCCTCCAAGCCCACTCTCGAGGGGCAGAGATCTCGGCATCGGGAAGGGAAAGCAGCTCTAAGTTGAAATGATTTGTTGGAAGTCGGGTACATTGCAAAACCAGCTTTGCATCCCTCTCCTCCCCGAAGCACGGCCACGTTCCACATCAGCTTTGCCGTTGTTGGCGGTGTCTGCAGCAGAGGGCAACACTGAACGGAGCTGGGCTGCGACTCCAGGAACCCTGGAGAGGGAGCATCCCTCCTCCTCCTCCTCCTCTCCAGCCTCTTCCAGACCAGAAACTCTTTGGGCCGAAACCCTCTATGTGCGGCTGGGCTGTGACTCCAGGAACCCTGGAGAGGGAGCATCCCTCCTCCTCCTCCTCTGCTCCAGACCAGAAAGGGGCCGAAACCCTCTACGTGTGGCAGAGCCATGGAGAGGTCGCTGTCGCCATCGGGGCCCACGGGCGCGAGGACAGCATAGATAGGGAGCAAACTGACTATAACTTCACTGGCAGGTTTCTCCCAGCAGTCCTCACGCTCTGCTCAGTCCTGCCCTTCTCTGCTTCGCTCCCACCACCCACCCTCCAAATTCCACCCCCCACTGTTGCTCTCTTGCAATGAAGGGGCATATTTGCCTATTTGGCAGACTCTTCCCTTCCTTTCACGCTGGATTTTCTGGCTAGCTTTCTGGTGCACCAGGGCAGAGGAGCTGAAACCAGAGAATAAAACAGATACAGAAGATACCGGTCCAATTAGCTGCCTGGGTTTAGCAGGAGGGAGATGCGAGCCCATCTAAGGGACCAGAATCTGACGGAGGGGGAAACCAGCTCTCCGTGATCCCACCAGCACGCAATCAAACAGGCTTCAACAAACCTTCACTAACATTCCCTCCCCGCTTGCAAGCGCCCGCCTGCCGACGGGCTCTGGCATCACCGTCCCCCCCAGGGACTCTGAACCTACAGCTTCTGTCGCTCGAGGCTCACTTTGAGCTCACACTTGGAAACGCTCCCGCACGCTCAGCTGAACGTCTCTGCCCTCGACAGCCCCAGGTGGGTCCCAGCTAAGGGAGAACTGGGAAACTGCAAAGCATGGAGCGGTTCGTGAGAACAGCGGTACGGAGACTGGGAGAGGGAAGAAAGCGGAGTTCTAGTAGCCAAATAATGGCTTGTTGAGAGAGTCGCTTCCCAGTCCCCACAGCGGGAGATGGTATCGCACTTCCATGCTCCTGGAAGGAAAGGTTCCCAGTCCCCACAGCGGGCGATGGTATCGCACTTCCATGCTCCTGGAAGGAAAGGTTTGGGAAGTCTCCTCACCACCTCGAGGAAGTGGTGCAGCTGCCGAGCAAGAGATCTGCTCCTCAGGACCCTTCCGAGGAGTCTGTGGGCAAGGACGCAGGCCGGGGCACTGAGCGCAGCAGCCCGAAGCCACGCCAGACTGGCTCTCTAGGACAGACCAGCAGCCCATCAGAGAGCAAAACCCCCCAGGCTCAGAGCGGGAGACTCACCTGGAACCCTGGACCGGAGGAAGTAAAGGAACTTCCCGTTTTTGGAGTGCATGATCGCTCTCTTTATGAACTCCACCACAGACTGGCAGCGGTCTTCAAACTTGGGATGGCACCACAGGCTGAAGGTCCCTTCCAAGAGAACAAACAAGGCTTCACGTTATAAGAGCACCGAAGGCAAGAGGAGACATTGAGTCACGAGGCTGATGCTCTCACAGACCAGGGCAATGCCCCAGGCTATTTCTCATAGAGCTGGGACGAGGCAGGGCACTAAGAGGAAACACCAGCGGCACCAGCTTGCAAGGATGCTGTTCCACTGGAACCAGTCCTCTCCAAGAGCCGAGGACACGCAGAAAGACACGACAACGTGACCACTGTAACCCAAGCGCGGCCAAGTCATGCTTGCCTGAACTTGTAAACAGCCTGCAACGACTGCTAGGTTTCAAACTTCAACTACCAGAACACACAGAGCTCTGGCAGCTGCCCCTGCTCCTCTGCAGCGTCCCATCTACAGCACGCCCGGAGAAAGCCAGCCCATCAGAGCGGCTGAGCCCACCCACAGAGGAACGTAAAAACCAGTGCTCCAGACACTGCAGGCCTCTTCTCCCAGTCCCACAGCTGGGATGTTTCCCAGCTTCATGTTCTTGCCAGCTGTTTCCAACACCTTCATTCAAATTACCGTCAAGTTCGAACCGGGGTCAAGACACACCGACACCGTCGTCCCCACGCTGCCGCCTGACACGACGTACGCCTCGAGCTCGAGTGGCAAACAGTGAAACTGGAGACGGGCAACGCAGGGAAAGGCGGCCCTCTCACCTGGTTACTGATCTCTAAATGGGTGAAGTTTAAGCCTCAAGTCAGACCAGTCCCACCACCTCCTTGTGCTGCAGCCAGACACCCCGCTCCTTGCACCAAAACGCAGCCAGGTCACAGAATCCCAGCATGTTGGGGGTTGGCAGGGCCCTCTGGGGGTCACCCAGCCCAACCCCCTGCCCAAGCAGGGTCACCCAGAGCAGGCTGCACAGCACCACGTCCAGGCAGGGCTGGAATATCTCCAGAGAAGGAGACTCCACAGCCTCCCTGGGCAGCCTGGGCCAGGGCTCCGTCACCCTCAGAGGGAAGAAGTTCTTCCTCGGGTTCAGCTGGAACTTCCCATGCTCCAGTTTGTGCCCGTTGCCCCTTGTCCTGTCGCTGGGCACCACTGGAAAGAGTCTGGCCCCGGCCTCCTGACCCCCACCCTGCAGATATTTAGAGGCATTTCTAAGGGCCCCTCTCAGCCCTCCATCCCCCCTCCATCTGCCTTTCTACCTGCAGATTTGTCTGCGCTCCAGCGAGAGCCGACGCACAGCGGAGCTTCACCGGAAGGAGGGAAATGGGAATTACGAGGGCTCGGTTCAGGCCGGAGCCCGTCAGCAGCCAGACGCAGGCTCACGCTGGCCGGGAGGCAGATCCCAGCGCGAGGTGTGACGCCCCTCAGCTGCACGAACGCTGCATCCCAGGGCAGCAAGGCAGCGGAGAGACTTTGGCAACACCCCGCAACCACGCAAAGAGCTCGCACTAAGGAGCGGCAGCCAAATCGCAGGTACCCGTAGGGATTTCAGGCCAGGGACTTTTTGGAGGGGCAGCTCCCCCAGCAGCGTCACAGGCTCCGCAGCACTGATCTGTTGCAGAAAAACTAGAGCAAGCAGCTCTGTAGGACGCCCAGCACCCGCTGCTTTCTGTAGGGTGGGCAGCAACCAGCAATACAGGGGCTATGTACAGCCCACAAAATTTAAAACACACCTCCTCTCCCCCCAGCTAGGTTTTACTGGGAAGAGGCACCGCTCACTCCTGCCATGGGCCAGTTTGGGAGCAGTGATCTGGGTTAGCAACCACTAAACATCCAGGACCACTAAGAACAGAAATAAGTGATTCTTCTTGGGAATCTCAGATCTGAATGAGCCCTTAAGAGTGACCAGGAGATGCCAAGGGCAAAGCACAAACACCAGCTTCCCCAGCCCGCCTACAAAATGACAGAGAAATTCTGATTTCTTCCTCTCACCTACCTAAAACCTGAAGGTCAAGCATTTATCTCCTCACCACTGCCCCAGCCTCGCCATTTGTCAGCTCCACCGGTTTATCCGAGTGCTCAGCTCTGCAGTTTTCCAGGCTGCTGCA